GTGTTTACTATTGTCATTTTGCATTATTGACACACTATTTTCCTAATTAATGCTGTTCAGTTGCTTTGACACAATCTGTATTGTTAAAAGCACTATATAAATAAAGGTGACTTGACTTGACTATTTCTGCTGTTCGATAAGCGCCACCTTCTGTCAGACAGCGGATTTACGCTTTTATTCGGCCTGTCTGCTGATTGCTTTCAGACCCATGCGAAAACTGGACCAGTGTCTTAACTGGTACATGAAAAACAAACTAATGTGCATTCAAAAAATCTCAACACTTCAGATAATAAGGCAGCCTATGTAGAATAGTTTATGGAGCAGATAAAATGCCTATAATTGATCATTTTGACTCATCCTTTTCCTAAAGATGATTTAAAGCAGGGGTGTCAAACTCAATTTCTGGAGGGCCGGAGCCAACGCTGCTCCAACACACAAACCATGTCGTTTTCAAATAAGCCTGAAGGACTTGACTAGCTGGATCTGGTGTGTTTAATTAGGGTTGAATCTAAACTCTGCAGGACCCCGGCCCTCCAGAAACTGAGTTTGCCACCCCTGATTTAAAGGCTGAAATGTGAGGTTTACCTTTTTATGATTTTTTTTTTGACAACTTTATTTGAACACCTAGTACAGTAATGCATTACAATATTGCGTTATTCCCTTATAAAGTAACTAGGGCTGGGTTTTGACACAAATTTCACGATTCGATTCGATTCTCATTCACAAGCTTGCGATTCGATTCGATTCAATGTCGATTATTGTGGATACATATCAGGTACAGTACTTGCCAAATTTTCTCAAGGGAAAAAAATCTCTCAACTAACTTGGTCTTGCGATATCTACAAATCAAACAAGCAGATTATCATGCATATCAATGGTTATAAACCATACATAAATGCTTTATGGTTTGGAGCATGTAACAAAAATCGTATTTAAACTTTTTAAATAACATGAGCAAACCCAGAGGATTCTAGGGATGAAACGGTTATCGGTTTGACGATAAACCACAATAAAAAGTTCCTATGGGCAGTAACACGGTTTCTTATTTTAATTATCATTAAAGCCGTCTTTGATTATCCTGAATTGAAAAACCCGCAGTAAATACTGCTCGGCATTAAGCAAGTGCCTGATAAAGCAGTGTTTAAAAGTGCAGCGCTGCTTTAGCTACAGAGGTTACCGTTGAAACAGCTCTATTTCGTGAGCTCATTCGTGAGCTTTAGCTCATTCTGTCACTGATGGAGTTTTGGTTCCTTGCCGCTGTCGCCTCTGGCTTGCTTAGTTGGGGACACTTCATTTCCAGCGATACCGTTGACTTGATTGCAAAGATACTATTTAAACTGAGCTGGATGTTGACATCACTGAATTCAATGATGAACTTTCTTTAACTGAAAAAATTGTTTACTATTGTCATTTTGCATTATTGACACACTATTTTCCTAATTAATGCTGTTCAGTTGCTTTGACACAATCTGTATTGTTAAAAGCACTATATAAATAAAGGTGACTTGACTTGACTATTTCTGCTGTTCGATAAGCGCCACCTTCTGTCAGACAGCGGATTTACGCTTTTATTCGGCCTGTCTGCTGATTGCTTTCAGACCCATGCGAAAACTGGACCAGTGTCTTAACTGGTACATGAAAAACAAACTAATGTGCATTCAAAAAATCTCAACACTTCAGATAATAAGGCAGCCTATGTAGAATAGTTTATGGAGCAGATAAAATGCCTATAATTGATCATTTTGACTCATCCTTTTCCTAAAGATGATTTAAAGCAGGGGTGTCAAACTCAATTTCTGGAGGGCCGGAGCCAACGCTGCTCCAACACACAAACCATGTCGTTTTCAAATAAGCCTGAAGGACTTGACTAGCTGGATCTGGTGTGTTTAATTAGGGTTGAATCTAAACTCTGCAGGACCCCGGCCCTCCAGAAACTGAGTTTGCCACCCCTGATTTAAAGGCTGAAATGTGAGGTTTACCTTTTTATGATTTTTTTTTTGACAACTTTATTTGAACACCTAGTACAGTAATAATATTGCATATTGCGTTATTCCCTTATAAAGTAACTAGGGCTGGGTTTTGACACAAATTTCACGATTATTCTCATTC